CAAGTGTGAGAATGAAGAGGTGGTGAAGAGTTTTCAGCCCAACCTGGAATGGTCAAAGAAACTTGAGAACTGATGTGCTATGTATGTTAAACTGCAAGGAACAGGGGTGAATATATGGAAAGCATAAACAACTCGTGGCTTTAGCTTATTCTCGTATATATATATATATATATATATATATATATATATATAAATGTTTGTGTGTGTATGTACCTTTCTTATCTAACAGAGATTGAAGAAATTCCTCTTGTTATAGGTCAGAGTGATGTGAGCCCTAAGAATGTTTCAAAACAGAATATTTATGGCATTTTTGCATTTCTTGAGTTTTTCTGCTGCCATTTCATTGCGGACAAGCTGTGTTTGATTATTTATTTTTATTTTATTTTTTTTAAGGTTGGGTGGTTTCTTTTTTTTTCCCCTTTACCTGTGGTCAACTTTGAAGTTTATAAGTGTCTTTATTTCTTTCAAGACATTAGTTTTCTATTTTATGGATTAATGAGCCAAACTTTATTAGTGCATACCTATGTGTGTAATATATTAATAGGAGTAGATAGGTCTTCCTATTGTCTGGCTCACATTCCTCTCCAATCTTTTGAACAGGAGTAGAGGTTAATTCATCATTTCCTGTTTAGAATTGAGTTTCTGGTTACTTCTAAAGTTTTTTCATTCCCTTGCATCTTAGTGACATTATCGCCTTGTTTGGTCTGAATTGATTAAAATATAGTGGCATCTATCGATCTTGAGAGACTATGTATCTGCCCTTGAAGAGTTATAATTTCTCTGGGCAGGTTTTTTTTTTTTTTTTTTTTTTTGGAGGGATCAGCAGTTGCCAATCCAGCACATTTCTCTCCACACTACCGATGTTACCCAAGGGAAAGGCAGAGGCCAATACAGCTTGGCACTAGCGTCATTGCAAGAGTTGCCAGAACAAACATGACATTGGATTTTGCCTTTGGATTTGAATTAATTGTTATCCTTCTCTTGTCAACCATGGCTACAGAGCCCAGACTATCCTATTTACCTATAGTTGGAGTTTTTTAATTCAGACTTTCTCTTTCTCCTAGACCAGTTCTACCCAAGGCTATAGAACCCAGTCTGTCCTGCCAGCTGGAAGAAGAGAGGGCTTAAAATGTATTATAACTGTTAGTGTCTATTGGTTAATGGAAGGGATTCTTTTATTAATTTTACTCACAATTGCTATATCACCAAATTGACAAACACCTGAAGAATGCTAGAGTGCAAATTATTGAAACGTTGTAATAGTAAAAACAAAGATGAGGACAATATGTGGGGGGTGGGATTGGGGGAAGGAGAGAGAACCTTACTCATCAGCTTCAAAAGAAAAAAAGGCTTGTACAAGTGTGAGAATGGAGAAGTGGTTTAGCAATCTGGTTTGACTCAAAGGCTGCATGTTCCAGTTTTCATATTCGATGATATAACCTAATTGAATGAAGACACTGAAGTCACTAATGATCTGACCAACTAAGTACACATCATGCTGATGTGGCTTTGAACATAAACACATAAATTGACAAGTATGCCAAAAAAGAGAAAGGTGTATTCATACTTGTTTGTGCCAGTTTTTAATATTACAAGTTATAATTGAGATGAGAAAGTTTTGTCTTTTGTTTGACCAGGATGATTTGAAATTAGGATACTTTGACCACTTTTTTTCTCTCTCAATTTTGTCTGTCTAAAGTAATAGCTATCAACAAGAACATTTATTATTTTTCTACGCTCCTAACAATTAGACTGGAGATCATGGGTGGGAATTGTTTCAACATCCTGAGGAAGGGTGTCTGCTAATTTTGTTCCCCATGACTAACAATTGTATTATTACAATATCATTTATTCCCTACTTTGCCTTGTGGCCTAATTGATAGGACACTTCAGCTAAAGGATTGGTTTCTCTGATGGGAGGTGGGGGTGGGGAGAAGGAATATAGATTTGATTTCTTTCAGGAAGCATATTTTTTTTTTTTTTGCCAGTTAGGACTTTTCTTGATTTCTAAGCCAGTTGACATTAATTTCACTGTTTAAAGCATCAGGGATGTCTACTTAAAAAAAAATTCCCTTATTTTTTATGAGTCATCCAGTCAGTTTTGAACGATGCCACTTCTTCAACACATTTTGTATCTTCTGATATAAGATAACAATTCTTATCAAAATAAGTTGCATCCAAGAGAAATAAATGAAAACAAAAAAAAAAATTGGTCAATATCGGACAGTTATTCATAGATGATATTCAAAGTGTGCTCTATCAGTTAGGCTATAGGAAAACTCTATTACTTACTAAAGAAATGCCCATCTCTTGCTGGAACACTTCAAAGTCTATATCTGTTATCTTTATTTTCATAACTGAAATATGATTGATTGCTTTGTTTTTCACAACTTTTAATAAACCTTTTGTGGGTTATTTAAATTGAAAACATATTTCAAGTTGTAAGAATAATACCTGAAATATAAAGTTAATTTAGAGATGGAATATTTAAAATTTTAGATCAGAATTTTTTTTTCTGTTTTTTTTTTTCTTTGATTTCTTTTTCATTTTTCTTTTTTTTTTTTTTTTGTTTTTTTTTCGTTTTTGTTTCGTTTCTTTTTCCTTTTTTTTCTTCTTTTTTTTGTTTTTTTTTCTTTCCTTTTTCGTCTTCGTTTTTGTTTTTGTCTTTTGGTTTCTTTTTGGTTTTGTCTTTTCGTGGTTTCTTTTTGGTTTTGTCTTTTCGTGGTTTCTTTTTGGTTTTGTCTTTTCGTGGTTTCTTTTTGGTTTTGTCTTTTCATGCTTTCTTTTTTTTTTTGTCTTTTCGTGGTTTCTTTTTGTTTTTGTCTTTTTTTTGGTTTTTTCTTTTTGGTTTTGGTTTTTTTTATTGGTTTCTTTTTGGTTTGTCTTTTCGTGGTTTCTTTTTGGTTTTGTCTTTTTATTGGTTTCTTTTTGGTTTTGTCTTTTTCATTGGTTTCTTTTTGGTTTTGTCTTTTCATTGGTTTCTTTTTTGGTTTTGTCTTTTCGTGGTTTCTTTTTGGTTTTGTCTTTTCGTGGTTTCTTTTTGGTTTTGTCTTTTCGTGGTTTCTTTTTGGTTTTGTCTTTTCGTGGTTTCTTTTTGGTTTTGTCTTTTCGTGGTTTCTTTTTGGTTTTGGTTTCTTTTTTTTGTCTTTTGGTTGAATCCTCATTGCAAAAAAATAAATAAAAAAAGTTCATTTAAGTGTTTTCTGTGTTTCTTTGTTTTTTATTTTTGTAAAAATAGAAGCTATTTAAAGAAATAAATTTGACAATGGAAGTAATTTGATTTTTATAGGCTACTCATTTACCCCTCTCTTTTTTGTCTAGTACAACTATCTCACACTTTCCCTCTAGCTCATATTCATATCTAAAATCATGGTGCATCTATAGAGGCTTATAGGATTATAGCATAGTACCCATAAAAAATAAGCTTATTCATGTATGGCTTGGTATTTCTGACTAGGATGAAAATCTAGTCATTTTACAAAATGTTGCTTCCCTATCCTTATGCCTAGCATTAGTGTACTTAGTTGTGGGAGATGAAAGGTTTACATACATACACACATATAATTATGGGAGGCATGGTGGAGTAGGGGATAGTGGCTTGGATTGAGGAATCAGAGCCAAGTTTGAATTCCAGTTGAATGCATTACATTCATTTACGTGCTAATACCCTTGGGAAAGGTATTAATCCTCTTCTTCTCTCCCCAGCTATGGATAAATAGCAGGACAGATGGGGGGTACTATATCATGCCAGAGAGTTAGTGTATTTGCTTTCTTCTCTTTGATCTCCCCCTTTTCACCCTTTGCTCTTCAATCTCCCCCTTTTCCCCCTTTGCTCTTCGATCTCCCCCTTTGCTCCTTTCTTACTCCCTTCGCTCTTTTCCCCTTTCTTACTCCCTTCGCTCTTTTCCCCTTTCTTTCTCCCTTCGCTCTTTTCCCCTTTCTTTCTCCCTTCGCTCTTTTCCCCTTTCTTTCTCCCTTCACTCTTTTCCCCTTTCTTTCTCCCTTCGCTCTTTTCCCCTTTCTTTCTCCCTTCGCTCTTTTCCCCTTTCTTTTTCCCTTCGCTCTTTTCCCCTCCCTTTCATTTTTTCTTCCTCTTCCCTCCTTTTTGTTTTTCTTCTCATTCATCCCTCTTTTATCTCCATACATTTTCTTTTCTCTTCTCCTACACATTATTGTGTGTGTATGTGTGTGGCTTTAGTCTTCCTTTTTTATCCTACAGCCACACTACTTATGCATATATTTCATGTATGATGTGTGGATCTCTTTTCATAAAAGTATCTTATAGCCTGCTAGATACGATGTTAACACAGATACAATAAAGAAGATTGTCTTTTTGTAATGTGACTAGGCATCCGGAATATGAATATATTACTGTTCCTGACCCCTATGGTCTATCTGAATTCATGTAAATAAATAGAAATCAAAGACAATGCATCTTGTAAAACAAACCATATATTCATCGCCTTCGATGATGATTCACATTGACAATTCTATCCATATTAATAAGTCCTTTTCATTTCCCTGAACGTCTGACTTCTCTTGAGACCAATTAAGCTGATCCTATTACCATCACTGCTTTCTCTGGATGGAAGCTGTCATTCCAATGATTAACGGACTTCCAACGAAGGAGAAGAAAATGGAAGACATTCACTAAAACCACCACTCCACCCCGCTCAGCCTCTTGCCACTTTACATTCAAAGCAAAACATTTGTAACAGAAAACAATGATTGTTGTTTTATTATATACACACTGTTGGGTAGACCAACACTCTGAAAGGACATATGTATAATAACAAGATTTTTATGTCAAGAAAATATTTCTTATATGTCACCACATGTTTGCAATTTTTTTTATTCTTATTTTATTTTTCATTTGTAATTCTCCTTGAAGAGTTGGTAACCTCTGTGGCTGCTCCTTGGATCTACATACAAGATAAATTGAGAAATGATAGCCAGCTGCCCACCCATAAGTGTTACCCAATGTTGTTGTTGATAACATAATGATTCTTCTTCCTCCTCCTTTCTTTCTTCCTTCCTTCCTCCTTCTTTCTTTCTTCCTCCTTTCTTCCTTCTTTCTTTCTTTCTTCCTCCTTTCTTTCTTTCTTCCTCCTTTCTTCCTCCTTTCTTTCTTTCTTCCTCCTTTCTTCCTTCTTTCTTTCTTTCTTCCTTCTTTCTTTCTTTCTTCCTCCTTTCTTCCTTCTTTCTTTCTTTCTTCCTCCTTTCTTCCTTCTTTCTTTCTTTCTTCCTCCTTTCTTCCTTCTTTCTTTCTTTCTTCCTCCTTTCTTCCTTTCTTCCTCCTTTCTTCCTTCTTTCTTTCTTTCTTTCTTCCTCCTTTCTTCCTTCTTTCTTTCTTTCTTCCTCCTTTCTTCCTTCTTTCTTTCTTTCTTCCTCCTTTCTTCCTTCTTTCTTTCTTTCTTCCTCCTTTCTTCCTTCTTTCTTTCTTTCTTCCTCCTTTCTTCCTTCTTTCTTTCTTTCTTCCTTCTTTCTTCCTCCTTTCTTCCTCCTTTCTTCCTTCTTTCTTTCTTCCTCCTTTCTTCCTTCTTTCTTTCTTTCTTCCTTCTTTTTCTTTCCTCCTTTCTTCCTTTTTTCTTTCCTTTCTTTCTTCCTTCTTTCTTTCTTTCTTCCTCCTTTCTTTCTTCTTTCTTCCTCCTTTCTTCCTTCTTTCTTCCTTCTTTCTTTCTTCCTCCTTTCTTCCTTCTTTCTTTCTTTCTTTCTTCCTCCTCCTCCTTTCTTTCTTTCTTTCTTCTTCCTCCTTTCTTTCTTTCTTTCTTTCTTCTATGTGCTGTGTCCCTTTGGCAGTCATGGATCTTCACAATTTCCTATCCTTTGTAGTTCTTATTATGGTTTGTCTTTTCATTTTTCTGCTGTGTGTTACATGCTACTTTTCCCTGCTCCCTTTGCCCTTCAGTATGTCCTGTGAGTGTCAGATTCTCCATGTCCTCTTTTCTCATTATGTGTCCTCTAAAATTTAACCATCTCTTTCTAAGTACAATAGTACTTTTTGTTTCTGTTTTCCTTAAAATTTCATATGGTGCTGTGCTGGTGTTGTCACTACCGCATGCTAAGGAGGGAAAGAAAAAAGAAAGAAAACAGGAGGCTTCCATTTTTAATAGCTGGTTAACAGCATCATCAAAGCCATGTCAGGGAAACCCACAATGACTAATTTTTTTTGTAAATGAAAAAAAAACATTTTCTTTCTCTTTTACTTGCTACTAATATTTATAAATTTAGAGCATTTCATTTGCTTATTTTTTTAGAAAAAAATTCATTCATTATAAACATTTGTTCAATGTAAAATAGTAAAATCTTTTTTTTCTGTATATATGATACATGATTATTCTTTCTTTTTTTTTTTTTTTAACCAGTAGGTATACAGGGTGCAATGGATAAATTGTCTAAATTATGCAAAAATGAAAATAACTGATATATTTACCAGAATTACACAAAAGTATCTTGAAGTACTAAAGAGTAAATTTATTCAATAAAATCGCCATTGGCTTCAACCATGGACTCCAGATGACTTCACAATCTCCTGCAACTCTTCTGGACAGTCTTCTAGTTTAAGTTGATTTTCTAGTGTAGCTTAGATGTGGCACAAGGCTGTAAATAATGGGCACCCAGTAAGGATTGAATTCGCTACTCAATTGTAACTGTTCCATTGAGACAAGCTTGCTAACTATTACACCATGTCGGGGTACCCAAATCTCCTTAAGTTGGTGAATGCTGCTATAATCATTGCCTTCAGTTCATCTTGGGTGTTACAAGGAGTTTTGTTGGTCTCTCTCTCAACTACACCCCACATATAATAATCAAAGGAGTTGCAGTCTGGAGAGTTATGTGGTTGCAGAAATTGTCTGATGGTCACGATTGAGTACTCCTGCTTGTGTGGTATGGTGCCAGACATAGGGTCTTCCAGCAGGCGCCCCTTGACCCAGGTTGTAGGCCTTCGATCACTCCAAACCCCTTTGTCATCACTATTAGACTCCTCCAACTGTTTCCAAATTCTCTACACTATTCTCAGATTAACACCCAAACACTCTGAAATGTTCATATTGGAGCTTTCAGCATGAATGCCAAGCAGTACAGCATGCTGTTTCCAAATTTCTGGCAGAGTGAATTGTATCATGGTGCTCTTTTTCTTACAGGTGATGTCCAACTGACCTTACTATAGTGTGCAATCAACAAAATAAATAACAACACACATGTGTGAAATTAGCAATATAAAATGAAAACGATTTACCCATTGCAACCTGTACAAGATAGTATGTTTCTGTCCTTTTTTCCTTCTTTAAATAATTTCTTTTTATTCCTTCTTTCAATAATTATTTCTTTTTATTCTTTCTTTCAATAATTTCTTCTTCTTTCGAAAAGTGTAGGTCAATCATATTTTGATTCCTAATTTTTAAGCAAGTTATGAACGCATAGTTAATATGAAAAAGGAAGAAGGATATTAATGAAACAACGTCTCCTGTCAACTTAGATGACATTATGGTTAACCTAAACTGTGTAATAAAATATTTAAACAAATTTCCCATTATGGAACTCAGCTCCACCTCCTTGCAGCATTTCTCACAGTTTAGTAAAAACTGAAGAAATGTCAGGGTTAATCCATGAGGAATTCCAATCCACAAGTGCCAAGCGAACTGAATAATTTTTTATCCCTTGTCCCATGTACATATGAAACTCCCACTTTAAACACAGCCTAGCGTTACAATATATATTTCAGTCAAGTGGACCTTCTCTTGTGTATCAAACATTAGTACCGGCATGATTAAATTATTTCTTCAATTTCCCAGCATGGTTCATTTTTTTTTTTTTCTTTTTTTTTTTTTTTGTTCTTTTTTTTCTTTTTTTTTTCTTCTTTTTTTTTTTTTCTTCTTTTTTTTTCTTTTTACATAATTACCTTCATGATATGATTATTTTGTCCCACATTTATTACAAAAAATCTTACATAAATATTTCCAGTTGAATGTTTATTTGAACTGGTATGCTTATTTAATAAGTTAAAAAAAATCCCACTGTCCGCAGTTGCATTTGATACAAAAAGATTACTACTTGACATATGTTATTATTTCGTACTTGTATATTTATATACTCTTGTCTGCCAATTACATTCAGTGACATGATTAAATTATTTAACTCGGTCCCTCCTCTCCCAGCATGATGCTTATTTGCTACAACATGTTACTTAAAAAAAAAAAAAAAAAATGCACCAGACAGAAATATCTAAACTGTCAGCTGTATACAACCACTTTTTAATATCAATGGTTAAAAATGGCTTTGAACATGGAACTGATGAAGATGATCTGTCTTTGAATCACAGAATCAAACTTTAGCAATGTGGTTTCTGTTATCTGGTAGAGAACTTTCAGTAACAATTAAAATGGATATTACATATAACTTGAAGATGATATTTATTGATTCTCAAAGCTTTATTTTCTCTGTGTTCTAGAAATTTTGTCTCTTATAGTCTCTTAGTCTTTTTGTTTCCATTTTCCTTAAAACTTTTTGCTGTTGACAAAAATCTGTTCACCTTTAAACAAGTTAAACTCCAATAATTTACTGGTGTATTTTTTTTAATACTTTAACAGTCTGTGTTATTATTATAAGTATTATATACATAAAAAAATCTACAAAAACAAATATTCCAGGTAGCCTAAAGAAATTGTTTTTTGTTTTTTTTACATTAGGATAATATATCTTTTAATAAAAAAAAAAAAAGAATCTCATTCCAGAAAAGCTAATGGAATTGCACATTCCCCACCTTCATTTTTTTTTTTTTTTTTTTTTTTTCGTGGGATATATTTTAAAAAATTCTAATCTTATAAGAGGGTCAGCTAGAAAAACATAGAATCAGAAATTATTATAACTTAATATCTAATTTAGCCAACCCCTGCTACTTTTAACTACTAATTCAACCCCACCTCATCCCCAACCTTAGTCTGTGGCATCCTTCTTGGTATGTAAAACTTGAGGAGTGGGGAAAAAAAAAGATGGCTTGTTAGTTTGTAAGCAAACAATAAATGTCGTTGATATACTTTAAATGCTCTTCTGCTCTTGGGGAGTTCATGCTTGGTTAATTTCCCGAGATGAATTCATGTCTGTTTTCAATAGATTTGGTACTGTGGTTATTTTGTACAGCTGTGGGTAAGGCTCTGCTGTCCACATCCCACTAATATGACTTGTAGAAAAATTCTAATGACTCTTTGTGCATACCATATGGGAGGGGGACTTCTGTGTTCTCTATTGAGGAAGGTTACCATATATTGTCTCCATTAAATACCGCGAAAGAAAACTTCACTAAATTTGGGGTCAGTTATTGACATGATTTTTTTTTTCTTAATAATCCACTCACTTATAAGCAACTGCTACAAAAGATATATAAGCCCTTAAAATCTACTGAATAGGTCAGATCAGGTTCTCTGATGAGCTGCATTGTGTAGTATCTGTGTAATCTCTAGGATCAAAGTGTAGATGTATGGTGCACTCCTGCCAGTAAAAAGGGTGCAGCTGTATCCAGTATTCCTGGTTGGGGATCTGAGCATGGATGTATCTGACATCTCTGCCCAGGATCAAACCATATCACCTGTGTACTATGTCTAAAGTATTGAACACACACGTACACACATACATTTTTTTCATGTTGTTCTTCTATGTGCTGTGTCCCTTCAGGTACTGGCGATCATGGCCTGCCACAATTTCTGGTCCTGTGTAGCTATTAATAAATTTAGTCTTTTTGTTATCTCTTCTAAACCTTGTTCCACCATTCATTTACTCAAACTCACCAAGTAGGTTATGCATTGTTTTCCTCTGTTCTTCTTACCTTCAATCTATCTTGTGAGTATCAAATTTTCCAAACCCTCCTTCCTTATTATGTTCCTTAGAAATTTCAGCTACCTCATTATTTTTTTCCAGATGTCTGCTTTTATTGCTCTAATGATATTTCTAAAAATTTATTGTACTACTACTATGTGCCATGTCTCTTCAGGGCATTATCGATCATGGCTCTTCACAATTTCCTGTCCTTAATAAATTTAGTCTTTTTATTATCTCTCTTAAACCTTCTTCCATTCATTTACTCAAACTCACTAATATGAGAGAGGAGGTCCTTGATTTGGAATCCATGTTCTTCCAGTGGCCCTGAGAAGAGTTGATATTAAGTTTCTTGTATTTGATGTGTGCTTTTATCACTCTAAGATATTTCTAAAGACTGATTTTACTACTACTTCTATGTGCCATGTCTATTCAGGGCATTATCGATCATGGCTCTTCACAATTTCCTGTCCTTTGTAGTTCTTAATAAATTTAATCTTTTTATTATCTCTCTTAAACCTTGTTCTGCCATCCATTTATTCCAAGCCATTAGGTAGGTTGTGCATTGTTTTCTTTTATCCCTCTTCAATCTGTCTTGTTAGTATCAAATTTTCCTAGACATATCCATCTCTTCTTGATGTTAATTATAAATGTCCTTTTTTTTTTTCCATTTTTCTCTAAAACTTTGTTATGTTTAGTCAATGATATTCTCTATAACCAGTTTTCTGTTACTTCAAGTCTCTTTTGTGAAGTGTAGTGAACGAGATAATCAAGTACCCCGGAAAAAAGTTCATGTTTTGTGTGCGATCTGTCGAAGAAGGATTACCAAAAAGTAGTCAGCAAAACTCTTATAGCGACTCCTGCGACGGACTTGTTTCTTTTTTCGTAACAGAATACACGCGATGCGCTGTCGCTTGGGTTGACAAGGTAAGTCGCTATAAGAGTTTTGCTGACTACTTTTTGGTAATCCTCACGAACGCCGTAGCCAAAAATGCCCGAATTTTCCTTCCTTTGTGTTGTGAAAGCCACAAATTTGCTTTGAGAACGCTTACTTTTCATGAAGAGATTGTCCAGTATATGCTGCTGTATAGAAGGAGTGATATTACATAACAATTCAGTTCTTTGTTTCTATCAACATTTTTCTGTTTCTTAATACTTTGCTTTTGGAAGGAATCTTTTTGGCTTTCCCAATCTGCCTTCTGATTTCAGTGTTGCATTTTCTGTCCTGTAGTGGATGCCACGTACACCACGCCCACAAATTACTCAACAGTAATTGGACGGAAAATAAACAATACCTTTTGTACAGACAATTTACACATTGCATGAACAACATAAAAATTTCTTGTGTTTTTGCTTCACCAAAATAGCTATAGAAAAAATCAACGATTGGTTGATTTTTGGCCAATCACATTAAATGACACTTTCTTCAATATCCTTCCCGCGCTCGTTCTTGGAGCCACTTTAAATCTATAAAAAAGTAGAAATTAAAGAAATAACTTCAGTAGATTATAAATTTTCACAACCTAAACCACGTATGTGTATATACAATTTTCTACTCACAAACACACACAGATATAAACTGCACTCACACAACACAGTGTACTGTCTGTTTACAAGCCAAGTCAATTATTCGAACTATATCATTCTCCTGCACGAATATTTCAACTTTCAAACTCAAACATCAAACATTCTTAAACTACCAACAAACTTAAACAAAAGATATTATTACAACATACATTGTTCTTCACACAATACAAGGGAAACCACTTCATGTGACTTAATCTTTATTGTTATTAACAGAATTATATGTATATGCTTGTTTTAAATACATGTTTACTTGTTGATTTTCATTGATCTCTCGTCATTCATTCTTGTGTTTTTTTTACAAATTTAAAGTAGAGTGTTAATGTAAAAACGCAACCTTCATCAAAAACCCTTCTGATTCTTTTCTAACCAACACCATTAACTACACCACAGTCCTATGTTTTAAAAAAATCCCAGATATTTAGTTGTCCTTGTCTAATTTTGGGGTCTCCAATTTGTCATTATTTGTAACTTTCATGATTTTTTTTTTTTTTTTTCTTTTTTCAATCAATTCACCAGACACAAGGTACAAAGGGCTACAAGGAGTGACAGAATGAAAAGACTTTAGAAAGAATTGGAAACCCAATCCTAAACAGGGAACAAGGGATAAACCTCTGTTCCTGTTCAAAAGACCAGGGAGGTGTGTGAACTGGATGGTATTGGGCTCTTCCTTTTGCTAACAGCTATATATCCCGTCTTCTTGCAACTGATGTTTAGTTTTCATGTTAGCATTTAAATATACTTATATATAACATCATCTCTCCACAGACATTTAGAATCAGAGAATGGAATGGTTGTTAGTCTCGGAGAAAATGTGTTAGGAAACTTAGATTGGCTTGGGTTTGATTGCATTCAAAGTAAACAAATATTTCTTTTGACTTCTGTTCATTACCAACATGAAGGGTTCTGACCTCCCACCCTTCTCTTTCTCTTCCTTCATAGTTCACAAATTAG